CTATATCCCGTCGTTACATATTCCAACGGCTATATTTCCAACGGCTATATTCTGGAAGCCCCCGGGTTTTCTACTTCACTCCTCTTCATCAAGGATAGCCTCCGGGTACACTCACTCAGAAGTGCCCCCGGGTTGTGCCCCACACAGCACATAACAGACGCCTTCGGGATCACTCCTTCAGAAACCCAGGGCTTCATATCAGAGCACCCCTCGGGAATTCCCCCTCAGCACTGCAGAACCGGGTAGCCCCCGGGGAGTTGCCTTCATTGACGGATAACCCGTCGCACGCAGGTAATGGGAGCCCTCGGGTATCTTCATCGCCAACTAATCAACAAACAGTGGATCCCCCCGGTAACAACTTCATTGCCGCCCTCATCCAGCAGGCCCTCGATCCACGGATTGAGGGGCTCCCCTTCGGCGCCACCAGGGCATCAACAGCAAGCCTTCAGGCAATCAACACAGGAGCCCTCAGAAGAGAGAGCCTTCGGCATTCCCGTTATTCTCCATTTTACCAAGGTTTGACATTTTCGATTCATCATTGGGGGAATTCGGTGCACTCTTTTTCCCTCATTAGGATTTTTTCCCAAAGGGTTTTTCCTAATGAGGTTTTTAACGAGGCATCCCCCCAAAATGAAACGAAAAGCGTCAGCCTTCGGCCCACAACAGCAACATAACTACTTTACTCCTTTTCACCACTTTACAAGTGCCTCAAGGAGTGGGGGACTGGAGGACCCCCTCGGGAAAATCATTAAATTACAAAATCTGTGAAATTCCAACAAACAACAAAGCAAGCCCTCAAGTCCCGACATGTGGGTAACTGAGGGACTGCCTTCGGCAGGGACATAAAAGCAACAACTCCTCACCAACTTCAGAGATCACGACGGGACAACATCAAAGGGCAAGCACAAATTACTCCTTTTCCCTCAAGTACCTTTCGGCAAAAGGAGTGAGGGACTCTTGATGGAGTATATGGCCCGGGAACCCCCGGCCCACAGACTCCTACTACTCCAGCAAAGGCCCAACAGGCCCAAAAGGCCCAACAGGCCCAAATCACAGCGCCCAGAGTACCAAGCAGCCCGCACTACGCGCCAGGAGTGCCTTCGGCCCCCTGGCCGAAGGCTCTAAATTCTCACAGAACGGGTTTCTCAAGCAAATTAAGAAACTGGGAGAAAACGGCGAAAACAGTAGCCCTCGGCACTATGAGCCCCCGGCACCAGGGGCCATCGGGTTGAAGAGCCCTCGGCTACTGCTCTATACCCGAAGGCATCTCACTCGACAAGATATCCGCCTCACATGCGTACAGATCATCGTGCCCTGCACAGACGTCCCATCCAACAGCCGCATTAAATGCGACCACATGCGGTTGCCAGCGCCAACCAGTTGAGGTGACCCCTCGGCCAATGAGCGCTTGACACGTGTCCCTGCCCGGAATTTATTGCTACTATAAATAGCACCCCATTTCCCCATTTGTAACCAAGTGATAACACGCTGAAAACGCTTAATACATATCGAATATACACTCTCTCTCTTACTTGTTTGCTCTGACTTCTCTCTAGTTATTCTCCGCAATAACCCCTCGGATAAGCTACCCCCGGGTAGACTATCCATCATTTTGTTTATCTAGATGTGTAATGATCATGGACTTAAATACCCCTTTTGTCATGTAATGTTTGTAGTGATTATTGGGAAGTTAGATGTGTTTTGGTCATGGCTAAAAATGACACTAATCTGGAAATGTAATGCCATACATTTTGTTGAACGTCTCGCAATGTAATGCTCCTATTCTGCCCCTATTCCTCTACATCATATAAAACTGCTCCTGGCTCTTTCGAGATCACACTATATGCATGTATGTGTGTTAACCCGTTTATGTGCAGGATTCGCATACTAATCTACTACCTGCTAATGGATGGCACATGCTAAAAAGGGAAGTGGCAGTGTTATATATAGAGGGATACTCTGGTGGTCATTTCATTAACGGATAAAGTATAATATATTGTGTCATTTCATTCATCGGCCCAATGAAAGAAAATTTAAGTATTTTCTTATGGTTCATCATTCGTTAATTAACAAAGAAGATACAAATACTTCATTATGTATAGCGCGTGTTGGGTTAATGGCTCAATGGGGATTGGCCCATAAACCCCTAAAGTCCTACCCTACGAACGTCCCGAGAAGGCCCAAGACAACGGGTTAGCCCCCTAGCGAGGTTTGTCCCCAACTTGGCCAAAGAGAAGGGTACACACGTCTCCAAGTGTAGGCAGGGTACCTTATCCCAGAGCATCACAAGACGCACGTCTCACAGAACTTTGCCTAGCAGGAAACAGGAGGCAAGTCCATGGGGACGAACGTCCCCAGAAGGCCTAAGCCAACGGGATACCGTTCCCCATCCAGTGGACGTACGTATCCTAGCGTGGCAGATACCTTGGCCCAGGAGAACACCGAGATGCACGTCTCATAGGGAACAGGAAGCAAGTTCATGGGGACGAACGTCCCCAGAAGATCCAAGATAACGGGGCACCATTCCCCATCATCCAGGGGACGTACGTATTCTAGCGTACAATGTACTTTGGCCCAGGAGCATTACAAGACGCACGTCTCGAAGGTATTCGGCAGGAAACAACAGTTAGGATCATGGGGACGAACGTCCCCTTAAGGCCTAAAACAACAGGGCACCATTCTCCATCATCCAGGGGACGTACGTTTCCTAGCGTACAATGTACCTTGACCCAGGAGCAGGACTTGGGGATGAACGTCCCAACCCCTTTAGCGGACAACCAAGATCCTGGTGGGATTCTGCATTTAATACAGAATATTTGGTGGTTGCGCATTTAATACAGAAGATTTGATGGTGGGGATCAAGCTAGACAAGCTAATGGGGACGAACGTGCCCACCCCTTGGCGTGAAGCCAAGATCCTGGTGGTCACGCATTTATTGCAGAGGATTTGGTGTTTGGAGTCAAGTCATCCACAGCTGGGTTCAATGCATCTAACTATCCATTGACGGTATAAATAGTAGCATTTATTTCATTGTAAGGGGAATGCAACTCAGCACTCTAGTATTATAGCATTCTTATTATCTTGTAGCATATCTCTGGACGAACGTCCTCACCTTGTAATTACAAACGGCTTCATCTTTGTAAGCACGAACGGCCTCACGCCTTTAACTAGGGGTGGGCAAACGGGTACTAGAATCGCGGGTCGGGCCGGGTAATACAGGTTCAGGGCGAGTTAGAGTCGGGTCCTAATTTTAGAAAATCCAAACGGTTCGGGGCGGGTTTTGAAAAACTTAGGAACCGAACGGGTCTTAAAATTTGAAAAAACGGATACCCGGACTGAACCATTTTAAAATATTATTTTAATAATCTCTATTATATTTAATATTAGTATAATATAATATACTAACAAGACATGAAAGCTCTTCATGTTCTTGTGTCTAGACAAAAACTTCCAATTAAAGAAACTTTTCACTCTAATAAAAATAATTTTCAAGTCCGTATAATTAAACTCCTAAATTATTTTCCTCTATTCTCTATTCCAAATGCATCAAACTTTCTTTCTTTAATATTTAATGTTAATAAAGACTCTTACTCAATGAAGTGTGACATATTCATTTAATTATCTTAATTTTACTTATACTTGGAGATTTAATAAGCTTTAAATTATTTTCATAGACAAATATGTATAGTAACTAGTTTAATTTCTTATGAATTTATGGTGCTATCTTTTTAATTAGTTTATGAATGAATATTAACATTTTGATTAAGGTGGTTGTGTGTTGTTTAATTTAAAGATTTATGGTTCGGTATTTTGTTAACTAATTTAAAATTTTGTCTTATACTTATATTTTGAATTTTTATTATATTTTGGTTACATTAATAGGTAATTAATTTGAGAATTTTATAACTTACTAGAAACTTTGTTTGGGTAGTCGTATTTTTTTTTACAAAAGAAGAACCAAGGACTCGGACCGAACCTACCCATTAAATGGGACCGGTGGACGGTGGTTCTTGAAAATTCACTTTATTCATATGTTTACTTTGAAGTATATGTTTTGCCTTCAATCTGTAAATTTTACTCCCTCCGTCCCAAACACAACTTCTCACTTTCCTTAAATGGATATCCCAAAATTAACTTCACACTTCTTCCTAGGGGTGGACCGGTTCCGGTTCGGGCCCGGTTCGGGTCTGGGCCCAACCGGGCCTCGGTTCATGAAAGGGGAGGCCTGGAACTGGCCCGGGTAACCCCGGGTCCGGGCCGGGCCTCGGTTCTTTTTTTTTTTTTGGCTTTTCCTAATTAACCCCCAACCCTCCCCCCTCACCCCAAACCACCCCAAACCACCTCAAATGGCCCATCATACCCAGCCCAACCCAAAAACTTAAAACAAATTCAAAAAAAAAAAAAAAATTTGGCTGGGACCGGGCCAGGACCGGCCGGGCCGGTTCACGTTTTAGGAGGCCCGAGCCCGGCCCGCCTACCTCACCGGGCCGGGTGGCCCGAACCGGGCACCAACCGGTTCACCGGGCCGGTCCGGGCCCGCTTAGTAGCGGGCCAGTCCGGTTCCGGGCCGGTTGGCCCGGCCCGAGTCCACTCCTACTTCCCACTTCCTTATTTGGCAAATTATCTACATCAAAACAGTGACAAACAGTGTCCAAACAGTAAAATTTACCCCTCAGTAAGTTTATTTGCTTAATATGTGTGTTAGTCAAATTGTGAAGTTGTTTTTGGGACGGAGGGAGTAAAAAATAATGTATTGCATTGGGCCGGTGACTCCAATTCGAAATGCTCCGTGTGTTGATAGCAGTGGATTTGATCAAGACAGTAGTTAGGGCTCAACCATGAGCTTGAAATTAAACATGATGCACGTATATATCAAGAAAATGATAGAATAACTATTTCATTAATTTGGACGATGGAAGTCATGTAAATGCTTGTGACTTTGTGAGGACTGAGGCCTCCGGCCTCAAGCTATGAGCAAGAGTCCTCGTCTGAATGTAATTATGTAAATGTAAATGCTTAGAAACCATAGGAAACTATACGAATCAATTTCTCAAAACTGTATAAATTTCATTTTTTGTCGGGGAAACACTAATCCACAAACAACAGCCTGCGAAGAATATACGAATTACACCTAAGCAATAAAATAATTGGAGTAATTCTGTTGGGTTTACTTTTTCTTAAATATTGTCAAATCTATTATTGAAACATGAAAATGAAACATGTGAATTGGTCTTTATCTTGAGCCAGCAATTTTGTCCATACCAAATAAAGTTTGAGCCCTTTTTGGATAGTTATCAGTCTTTAACTTCCATTCCATGCGGCTCTTGATTAAGAGTGTGTTAGCATACCTCAGTATTTTCCTCTCCATGAATACCATTTCAGTTTCAATTGGAATAGCAGAGGCGGGGCCCCTAAAATCCCCCGCCTTAGTCGTGGATCAAACACATCAAACTGCACACGTCTTAAAGATTCTAACATAAACTGGGCAGACACTGCAGGTAGAAGCACTGGACGAGCTTCAACAGGCACACTTCCTCTCAACTCACGAGCTTTGTCCAGATGTGCATTGGCAACTGATGCCATGTCATACACAGCATCTGAAATGGCCACATCAGACGGAACATATAAAGATAGTCGGTTTCTTCTTGCATGATAAGGTAAAGATGTTAGCAGCAATAGAAGGCCATTTGCCTTTCCGATATGTGATGCCGCGTGATCAGCTGCAGTTGATGTAATGCCACCCGCTTGAAGGGTGGAATATAGAATGGTTGAGGCAGTGTCTTCCGCATATCTCTCCAACTCTGCAACGGTTGTTGTTGGTGAGGAGTCGGACAGCTCCCTTCTAGCATCTTTAATCCGAGCTTCAACAGACCGCTTCAGCCAGTTCTTGCTGATTTTAGATCTGTTCTCTTCACCTGAAAAGATGGGATCTGATTGGATTTTTTTAAAGATCAATATAAATCTTTATGGTTTGGTCTGACCTGAGGATGGACCTGGTTTTGGAACAGGATGGGGACTGGCTGGTTCTTTTCTCGGAGACCATACAGTACCAAAAACTAGTCCAAACCAGCTTCGGTTTTGATTCCTCAAAAAAAAAGGACTGAGTTGTAAAAATGAGCGTGATTTTGTTCAGCCCCTCTAAGGAGGGTGAACATCACACCCCATCAGTTGACGAACCAGACAATAATTTAAGGGGGTGTTCTTTTTTTTTTTTTGAAAATCACTTTTTTATTAGGATAAAAAAACGAGTGAAAAATAATTATTAGATACATATAGAGTGAGGTTCTAATAAAAAGAGTTATTCCCGTGAAAAATGAGAACGTGCACACTTTTTACTCGTTTTGGTAAACTAGTAGATATTTATTTTACACTTTCACAATGAGAGAAAATTTTGATTTATTTATCAAATTGTCACCGAGTTTTTGATAAAATATAGTGCATTGTTGGCTGATTTTGAGTCATCGGATCTCAAGTTAAATGCACAAGCTTTATTTTCGATCAATTTTCATGATAAGAACTCTTTTTATTTGATCCAAAACTTATACTCCATATATATGTATATGTAGTGTGTTTGAAATAAAAATGCTTAAAAATGCACAAGATATATTAACTTAAAGTAGTTTTAGATGATCAAAAAAACTTAAAGTAGTTTTAGAATTATTCTTGACATTAAATCAAATGACAACATCCGTATATGTCATTATTAGAAGAAGAAATGATAAAAAATAATTTGAATTGAAGAAATGAGAATCTAAAATAAAAGATATAGAAATTCAAAAAGTGTGATTTAAACAACATTACATCCTAGAGTGATTTAATTGAACATAAATAATTATCATATGGGCTAAAGAAGCAATAATGGAGTCATACCAGTATACCACTCATACGTAAAAAGAAAGGTGCAAGGTGTGAAAGACATTATAGAATATTCTTTAGAATATGTTTTAGAATATTCTTCTATCTTTAGAATATGCTTTAGAATATTTTAGGAATATACTCTAGGATATTATTATTGTATAGAATCTTAAAGGAATACTCTATCTTTGTAATGTGTATATATATGGGCTTGACCCTCCAATGAAATATACACAAATATCATTCTTCTCATTACTATTCTATCTTTAATTCTTACAACATCTTGCAACATGGTATCAGAGACATTTGTTCCAGTTTAGCTTAGCAGTATTTTTCAGAACCTCAGTTCATGGCTCAGCCAGAACCTTAGCCCAAAATTCAGAACCTCAGTCCCAAATCCACAGTTTCACAGAGCATCACCTCCACCCTAAGCAGTCACGCCTTCCGCCGCCGACCTTACACTTGAAATCCGCAGGCCACACGCGCCGTCAGAGGACCTCGCAGACCCAATCGCCGGAGAATCCATCGGAACTATTTTCAGGTGTCTTGAACGGTATTATCTTTCTGTGGCTTTGCTTATTAAGTAACGACGACATTCAAGGATAGTATTTTGGTCGCTGTAAGTTTACTTAATACATAGCATCTTATTTCTGCAATTAAAAAAAATCAAAAAAAAAGTCAAAAAAAAGTCAAAAAAAAATGCCTGGTTCTGATACAGACACTTCCACCATACAACATGCTCAGCCTTTGGTAGTTTCCGAAGTTATTCCCATTAATTTTAAAATTACTGAGAATAAACTTTGTGGCTCTAACTATCTTGAATGGAGTAAAACTATCAAACGTTATTTACGAAGCATTGATAAATACACCCACTTAGTTGATGACCCGCCAAAGGAGGAGATTGATAGAGCTGCTAATGTTGTTTGGCTTCGTGATGATTCTAGATTATTTATCCAGATTCAGAACTCCATGGAGAATGACGTCATGGGGTATGTTAGTCATTGTGATACTGTGAAAGAACTGTTTGATTATTTAGAATTTATGTATTCTGGCAAAGGTAGTCTTAACCACATATATGAGGTGTGCAAAGCCTTTTACAGGGCAGAAATGAAAGATAAGCCTCTCACAGCTTATTTTATGGATTTCAAGAAAACGTATGAAGAACTTAATACCTTAATGCCATTTAGTCCTGATATCAAAGTGCAGCAGAAACAACGAGAACAAATGGCAGTCATGAGCTTTTTGGCCGGTCTTACGTCTGATTTTGAAACAGCCAAATCACATATCCTGTCTAGTGATGTGGTCTCTTCTCTTCAAGATGCTCTTCGCACTGACACTTCATCCACATCGGCACCTCAGCCAAGCAATGCTTTTGTAGGGCAAGTCCCAACATTCCCCAATGGAGGTGAGAAATGGCCACGCACAGGACCGATTGGCAAAGGAGTAGTATGCAACTACTGTAAGAAACTCGGGCACTTGATCAAAGATTGTCGAAAGCTAAAGTTCAAAAATCAAGGAAATCAAGTCGCTCACATTGCTTCCACTACACAGTCGTCTAATGGATCAATCATTATGTCTTCTGAGGAATATGCCAAATTCCTAGGTTACCAGGAGGCTCTAAAGCATTCATCTACTCCTATCTCAACTGTAGCTAATTCAGGTAATCCAAACACATGTCTTGTATCTTCATCCTCAAAATGGGTTATCGATTCAGGAGCAACAGATCATATGACAGGTAATCCTAGTTTTTTTTCCTCATTCCACACACCTCTTCATACTTCTAGTGTGACTTTGGCTGACGGATCTACGTCACCCGTTCTTGGTACGGGTACAATCGTCCCAACATCTACCTTACCTTTGTCACTCGTCCTAAGTCTTCCAAATTTTGCTTTCAATTTGATTTCGATCAGCAAAATCACACAAAAACTTAATTGTTCTGTAACCTTTTTTCCTAGATATTGTGTATTTCAGGATCTGTTGACGGATCGGGTTATTGGTAAAGGATATGAGTCGGCCGGTCTCTATCTCTTGGATACATCCTTACCCAAATCAATCTCTTGTTGTGGCATTAGAACTGTGTTAGAGGCTCACTATCGACTAGGTCACCCTTCTCTTCTGTCAATAAAGAAGTTTTATCCTCAATTCAATAAGGTGTCATCTTTACAGTGTGATTCGTGTCAATTTGCAAAACATCATCGAAGTAGTCTAAGTCCCCGAGTCAATAAACGAGCACATGCTCCTTTTGAACTGGTTCATTCTGATGTTTGGGGTGCTTGCCCTGTTGTGTCCAAATCTGGTTTTAAATATTTTGTTACCTTTGTTGATGATTATTCTCGTATGACTTGGATATATTTCATGAAACGTCGTTCCGAGTTATTTTCTCATTTTTGTGCCTTTTGTGCTGAAATCAAAACTGAATTTAATGTACATGTTCGTATTTTAAGGGGAGACGATGCTCAAGAGTATTTGTATGCCTCATTTAAGTTGTATATGGCTCAACATGGCATAATTCATCAAACTTCATGTGTAGACACACCTCCCCAAAATGGAGTTGCTGAACGAAAGAACAGACATCTATTAGAAACTGCGCGGGCTCTTCTATTCCAAATGAATGTGCCAAAACATTTTTGGGCGGATGCTGTGTCTACCGCATGTTTTTTGATCAATCGAATGCCATCTACTGTTTTAGATGGTAAAACTCCATATCAGTGCCTATTTCCATATAATGAAAATTTTCCTATTCTTCCTAAAGTTTTTGGTTTCACTTGTTTTGTACGAGATGTTAATCCCCATTTAACAAAGTTAGATCCCAAGTCATTAAAGTGCATTTTCTTAGGCTACTCTCGAGTTCAAAAGGGGTACAGATGTTTTTCTCCAAGTACAGGTCGGTATATTGTTTCAATTGATGTCTCCTTTTATGAAAATACACCATTTTCATCAACACACACAAATATCTGTAGGGAGAATGATGATATACTCATTTACACAGTCACTATACCCGAGTCCAATACTTCAGCAGTTCTTCCCCATGTTACTTTTCCTGAGCCTAGGCCTCCGATACACTTGGTATACACCCGTCGACACAAAGTGCAAGATCATCCTCCACCTGTGGTTACTTCTCCTGATACTGATCCGACCTCATATCCTGAACTGACACCTGCATCTTCAGATCCTGTCTCTACATCAGATATTGATCTCCCCATCGCAATACGTAAAGGTACACGGTCTTGTACTCATCCTATTTCTTCATGTGTGTCGTATAATCAGTTATCATCTGCCTCATGTTCTTTTATTGCTTCCATTGATTCTATTTCTGTTCCCAAATCTGTTAAAGATGCTTTGTCTCATCCTGATTGGCATCATGCCATGGTAGAGGAAATGAATGCTTTGGATCTTAATGGTACCTGGGATTTGGTAGACTTGCCTACAGGGAAGAAGTCTATAGGATGTAAGTGGGTCTTTGCTGTAAAGGTTAACCCTCACGGATCCGTTGCTCGGTTGAAAGCCCGATTAGTTGCAAAGGGTTATGCTCGAACCTATGGTGTTGATTATTCTGACACATTTTCTCCTGTTGCTAAATTAACATCTGTCAGATTACTTATTTCTCTCGCAGCAACTCATGGTTGGCACTTACATCAATTGGACATTAAGAATGCATTCTTGCATGGTGATCTTCAGGAGGAAGTTTATATTGAGCAACCTCTGGGGTTTGTTGCTCGGGGGGTATGGGAAAGTTTGTCGACTTCGCAAGTCTCTTTATGGTTTGAAACAGAGTCCCCGTGCATGGTTCGGGAAATTCAGCCAATCAATTGAACGATTTGGGATGATAAAAGGCAAATCAGATCACTCTGTATTTTACAGACGAACGAAAACAGGTATTACATTGCTTGTGGTGTATGTCGATGACATTGTGATTACAGGGAGTGATAATGAAGGTATTTTGGCCCTAAAGAATTTTCTTCATAGTCAATTCCAGACGAAAGATTTGGGCTCATTGAAATACTTCTTGGAAATTGAGGTTACACGAAGTATGAAAGGCATATTTCTATCTCAACGTAAATATGTGCTTGACTTACTAACTGAAACAGGGAAATTGGGGGCAAAACCAAGCAGTACTCCCATGATTCCCAATGTACAACTCACTCATGAAGGTATGCCATTCGAAGATCCGAAAAGATATAGACGGTTGGTTGGAAAACTTAATTATCTCGCAGTTGCCCGTCCAAATATTGCATACTCAGTGAGTGTAGTAAGTCAATACATGTCATCTCCGACAGTTGATCATTGGAATGCTGTAGAGCATATATTATGTTACTTGAAGGGGACACCGGGACGAGGTATTGTTTATCAGAATCATAATCACATGAGAATAGAATGCTTTGCGGATGCTGATTGGGCTGGATCTAAAGATGATAGAAGATCCACATCTGGCTATTGCGTCTTTGTTGGTGGTAATCTCGTCTCTTGGAAAAGTAAGAAGCAGAATGTGGTTTCTCGTTCGAGTGCTGAATCAGAATATCGGGCTATGGCACAATCGGCATGTGAGATAATCTGGATAAACCATTTATTGAGTGAAATGGGATTGAAGACATCAATGCCTGCTAAACTCTGGTGTGATAACCAATCTGCTATACACATTGCCAACAATCCAGTGTTTCATGAGAGAACAAAACATATTGAGATCGATTGTCACTTTGTTCGAGAAAAGATACAACAAGGATTGATCTCTACAGGATATGTGAAGACTGGATAGCAACTTGGAGATTTGTTCACTAAAGCACTAAATGAAATTCGTGTTGGTTACTTATGTAACAAGTTGGGCATGATAAATATTTATGCTCCAACTTGAGGAGGAGTGTGAAAGACATTATAGAATATTCTTTAGAATATGTTTTAGAATATTCTTCTATCTTTAGAATATGCTTTAGAATATTTTAGGAATATACTCTAGGATATTATTATTGTATAGAATCTTAAAAAAATATTCTATCTTTGTAATGTATATATATATATATGGGCTTGACCCTCTAATGAAATATACACAAAAATCATTCTTCTCATTACTATTCTATCTTTAATTCTTACAACATCTTACAACACAAGGCAAATGAGAAAGCAAAAAAATATTGTTGCTCCTAAGAATTGAACTCGGGCCATTTTGGAAGGCAAAGCTCTCCCAACCTCCGCCCTACCATTTGAACGATCACAACTTATTCATACAAATAACGACTGTGCTTTAATATATAAATATTTTCTGAACCTGGACTGAGATATACACACACACATATATATACACAGAACCGCCGCCGGAGAAGGGGGAGCGCCGGCACCAGCTCCCCCCCCCCCCCCCCCCCCCGTTCCGCCACCGGCCTCCATACTCGATTGCTGCCATGTGGCAATACATTTCAATTTTTTCTTTAAATTGCTATAACTTTTTAAGTTATGGCTCAATTTTTGTAAAAACTATATCAGATTTAATATGGAGTAACTTTTTATGATATTTCCAATGATATCAATATTGTATATAAAACAATTGAAAAAAAACTAATTTTTCTAAATATCTATTTTTAGCTAGATTTTTTTTAATTTTTCATATGCAATATTGGTACCATATAAAAGATCATAAAAAATGATATTACCTCCGTCCCAATGGACTTTGCACTCCTTAAGTTAGGTGAGAAATAAGAATAGTAAAAATTGTGTGGTTGAAGTTTGTGCAGAGGAGAGAGAAATGAGTAGAACCACAAAATAGTTACTTTAATGGGAAAGTGGCAAAGTGTTTTGGGACAACCAAAAAAAGAAAGATGACAAAGTCCAATGGGACGGAGAGAGTACATTTTTTTAAAAATTGGATCAAAAACAAAAAGAGTTAAACAATTGCAAAATAATAAGAAATTGCCTTGCCACACATGGTAGGCATGTAGGGTGGGGGTGCAGTTCACCCTCTTTTGAGGGGTGAACAAAGTTGGACTCATAAAAAATGGTCTAGGAACCAGGTCAGGTATGTCCAGTTCTGGTACCCCTTTACGAGAGCCAGCACTGGCCAGTCTGAATCCATAAAAACAGAACGGGTCCACCTCTAATCTGACCCGGTCTGAGTATTTTTAATCTGTGGTCTGAACCGTCCGGTTTGAATGTTTATGACCTTGTCTAATCATTTGCTCAATTATACTCCCACTCTCTCATTTTGTAAGATAAACTTTATGGAGTGCCCCAAAATATGAACACTTTCCAAAATTGAACTCCACTAACTTTAATACTTTCTCACTTTGTTTATCTATCATTTCAATCTTTATTTTTTGTGGAATCATTTTACTCTTTCTTACTTTTTGGAGGTTAGAATTGTTAAACAATCACTTTAGCCTTTATTTTCTTCAAATTCGCGCCAGCCCCACATGAATCTTTCTGGTTTGTAAAACTAATAATAACCAATAAGAATAAGGTGAAGAGAACAACACCATTATTTTCGGAAACCACAACAGAAGCAAGTGCTTGGGCTACTGGATGCTCGACTGGTTTGTTGGTGTAGAGGCTACCAAGAGCTTCTTGCCACCATAAAAGGCGCATGAGACCGATTTTAGTGTCAGAGGAAACATCAACAGCTCGGGATGTCTCTATGTTGAATGCACGGAGAGCAAATGCAGCTTTTCTCATGGTTGGAGGAAGTTCGAGAAGGCACAGGTAGTGATGGTAGTCATAGTTACGTACTTGCTGCACACAATAGGAGAGAGCAGCCCGCAGGCTGCCCGAAGAACTGGAGGTGGCACCCCTCATAAAATCGTCATAGCTCTGAGAAAGAAGTGATGGTCTGTGTAAAGGTAGTAAAATAACTTGAGATGGGAAAGAGACAGAAAGAAATTCAAAGATCACATCAAGCGTTTTTCTTCTTTCAAGAATTGCATCAAAACAGAATCCTTATATATTAGACTACGTATAAAGTAGCAAAATTGCTACATTTTTTTGAAGCAAAATTCCCATCCATTTGAAAGGCATAATTGGCAAACAGTGAATCTACGCTGAGGAGTATTTACCATATACAACCTGAGGAGTATTGGATTCCAATAGTTTGCGGTCCTTCTCTCCCAGAATCAGAGGTGTCCAACCTAAGTAATCCATTTGCACACAAAATTTACACATCAAAGCATTCAAAGCTCTTGGTAAAATCCCCCCTTGAAAAAGTAAAAGTATAGTTCAGAATTTTTTAAAAGTATTGTGGAAACCTTAGTAGTATTGGCCTTAGCCCATTTGTACATCTTGTATAGGAAACCCTAATGCAATATAGCTATAAATATAGCTTCTTGTATAGCATTTAATATGAAGTATATGGCAAACAGTAGTTAGGACGCTGGTTTCCGGCGGCTGGTTTCTGGCGAACATTTCTGGCATAATTTCTGGCGTGAACTGTACCTGCGATTGGCGTTGGAGCACACTTCCGGTAGTGAATATCCAATCTACACCTACCGCCTTACTCAGCATACCATCGCGACCAACCACCCAGAATCTATGTAGCACGGAAACGGGAAACGAGAAACGGGAAATGGGAAACGGGAAATGGGAAACGTCGGAAACGCCATTTTCTAAAAATACAGGAAACGAAACGTGGGGGAAACACCTAAATATAAAAAATATAGGGGCTATTTTATAAATATTATATACATACTTTTATAGCCATACGTAAATACAAACATTTCACACAAATATTATATATTTCATCCTAGAAAGTAATAATAACTCACCATGTTCAACTGTAAAAATTATTCAAATATCAATCCATAAGTTCATAACAAAACAAAAAACACATCAATAATAGGCAATGAAGCACGGAAACGGCTGGGGGTAGGAGTTTCCCCGTTTTGGAAACGTACGAACGTTTCCGATCGTGGGAAACGGGGGAAAACGCGTTTCTGGGCAGTTTCTTAATTTTGGGAAGTTTGGAAACCCGTTTCCCAGTAAAAAAAACCGGTTCTGATAAAAAAAATTGGCCCAACTTACTTTCACTCTTCAAGTCTTCAACCCTACGCATACCAGTCAAGTTCCGTCGCATAGCAGTCAAGTTCCGTCGCAGGCTTCAGCAGAGTTCGCCGGCTTCAGCAGACTTCGCCGGCTTCATCACAGGTCTTCGTCGTTCAGGTAAGTTTCTGAGAGTTTGAAATAGTTCCCCTCATCCCCTGCCTTCGTCGTTTTCAGCAGGTGGTTCTAAAAACGTTTTCAGCAGGGCCAGGGTCGTGTTGTACAGGTCGTAGCCACCAGTCGTCTATTTATTGTGTTTACTGTTTAGTGTCAGTGGGTGTCTGTGGGTGGTAGCCAAAGTGAAATTTAATAGCTTGTGTGTGTGTGTGTAAATTTAATGATACATATATGTGTGTGTGAATATATATATATATATACAAAAATTCACAAATATATACTACGTGTATATAATATTTATAAAATAACCCCTATATTTTTAATATTTGCGCGTTTCCCCCACGTTTCGTGTCCTGTATTTTTGGCAAATGACGTTTCCCGTTTCCCGTTTCCCGTTTCCGTGCTACTTAGATAATAGGGTTATGGGCTACGGGTTTTTAATCTACACCCACTTAGTTGGCAATCTACACCCACTATCATACATTTACAATTAAATACAGGGATATGGTCTATGTACTAATCTATGAAGCAAATAACTACAAGCTCAACCTTTACGTTACCCAATATACGGAGTACTATACAGCTGCGTTCTAATACCGACCGAGAAACAGAGAAGAGCAAAGGTAAAGCTACAGACCAGTTCGCAGAAGAAGGGAAACGATTTAAGAGTTTGGGAGTTACCATAAATTGGTGAAGATGATGACCTGCTCACCAAGATGCTAAAGCAGATGAAGTGCAGAAGAAGATGAGGTTTAATCCTACTATACTCTAATTTTCCGAAACTCTGTTTTTCGTGGGAAACGCGTTTCCCACTTTCCCAAAATTAAAAAACGGCCCAGACACGTGTTTCCGCTGTTTCTCGCGTTCGGAAACGTGCGTACGTTTCCGATACAGGGAAACTCTCCCCTCCTGACGTTTCCGTGCATTATAGCTCGGAACAGTACCGGCACGGAGGCTATCACGCGCCCTCACGCGCCACCGCCCCTTCCTGCAGCTCACTAACCTATTTGTAGATCTACTCCGTTCGACTTATCCGGAGCTCGTACAGCTGACACCGTGAAGATCTGGAGTTTCTGGTGACCAAAACAACATAACACAAGCACTCATCGGACATCAACGCGCCGCCGCTGAACCCACACGCCGTCACTGTTGCTCCGTCTACCTGCCGTTGCTCTGCCTTTTTCACTAAAGACGGATTTGTGTCGTGAACTCCGGCTCTCTTCTGCTGCTACTGCCAAGACTGACTCCCCGGTGTTCTCTCTGCCTTTCTATTTACAGACTTTAAGAGCAGTAAATTTCCTTTTAATTTACTAATTTTCTTTTTTTTAAAAACAATATATATATACATATAAAGAAAAAAATAAAAGAACATGTCATCGGGGTTCTCTTCATTTGCTTCGGTTCCAATTATCACAACTGGTTGTTTGGTTGGAAGCGTTAATTATCAATCATGGGCTATTTCCGTGGAAATGTGGTTCAAAGGTCAAGGACAAATTGATCACTTGCTTAGTGATGCCAATTCAATCAAGGATAAGAAGGCGAAATGGGAGAATATGGATGCACTATTGTGCAATGTTTTATGGCAATCCATAGATTCCAAACTTCATCTTACATATCAGTCATATAGGACGTGTAAACAGATTGGGAATAAGCCTAGTCTAATTACACAAATGATATCCAAAGCCTATTTTCTTTAAGTTCAAAGATTGCCACGCTCAAGCAACAAAAATTAGACATCCAAGACTTTCTAGGTCGGGCTGAGGCATTACGATTTGAGTACAATACCATTCAACAAATCACAGAAGACAGAAACAAAGAACAACGACAACAGCTTGTTATGGTTTTAGCTTTGGCAAGCCATTGCCCAGAGCTGTTATCGATACGTGAGCAAATTCTCTGTAGTTCTACTATTCCTACTATGAAAGAGGCTTTTATTCGCATTCTTCGCGCAACCCCGATATATACTGAGCCCAGTTCTAGTGACTCTATCATTCTTGCATCCCAAGGCAAGGCACCCGATGGATGAAACCACAAAGGATACTCACGTCGAAACCGTCCTAAGTGTGACTTTTGTCATAGGATTGGTCATACTAAAGACAGATGTTGGAAGTTACTCGGGAGACCTCCTAGCTTAGCCAATGTTGCTCAGATCCCGCCATCTACATTGTTCTACCTCCAGCCGAATATGCAGCATACCAAAAATTTAAGTCAACTCAAATGCCTTTATCTACACCTAGTACATCTACCGCTTGTGTTTCAAACACAACGGGTTCACGGATCCTTGACTACGGTGTCTCAGACCATATTTCTGGTAATCCCCATCTTTTATCCCGTATTACCAAGCATCAGCACCTTCCTTTAATTACTTTAGCTAATGTCCTTCAAACGTTGGCCACGGGTATTGGGCAAGCACTCCCATTTTCATCCTTACCATTTGACTCAGTCTTATATGTTTCGAATAGCCCTTTTAATCTTGTCTCTGTCGGGAAAATTACACGTGCGCTTGATTGTTCTATAACATTTTTTGTTGATTCTGTGACTGTGTGGGACCGTTGTACGGGGAAGACGATTGGCGTCGGGCATGAATCTCAAGGCTTGTATCATCTCCTCCCTCTTGATACAATCGTTTGTGTTTCAGTTGAATATGCAATTACGTTGTATAACCGTTTGGGTCACTCTAACCTCTCAAAGTTTCGACGTACGGTTCCAGGTTTCTCAAGTATTTCATCTGTAGATTGTGAGTCATGTCACCTTGGAAAGCAACCTCGTAAATCCTTTCTGATAGATCAATGGTAATATCTAAGTCAGAACAATGTAGAATCAATAGCAATGAACAAGAACAATTCAAAACACTTTATTCATCAACATGAATAGATCAATAGAAGGTATACAAGCTTTAGAAAATTCGAGATGCCTAGTCTCCCAGTCCAGTCCTAACCAACACTACAGCCTACTTCTGCTAGCTCTATAACCTTCTATTTATAGTAAAAGGTCCACACAGGGACAATCGACTAACGGAACTAACTGATTAGTTAGTATTAACTGCCTTACTCCTCTTCCTTTGATAAACTCTGTTATAAAACTAAACCGGTTGCTTTGCTGTTTGTCTAACAATACTCCCTCCCTGAAAATTCAACTTGTCCTCAAGGTGAAACTCTGGAAATTGTTCCTTAATCATCAACATTGATTCCCAGGAGTCCTCAAAGCTTGGCAGATTGCTCCAGTGTACCAATACTTCCAAGTTCCCTTCTTTGTCAACCCTTGTGTCTAAAATTTCTTCTGGCAGCACCTGTAGGTGAAATAGCCTTTTTGAGCAAGGAGACATGAAATACAGGATGTATTTTGCTGTCTTCTGGTATAAGCTTAAAAGCTACAGAACTGAGCTTGTCAATTATCTCAAAGGGGCCATAATATCTAGGACTTAGCTTTTGATTTATCCTTTTAGCTAAACTCCTTAGCTTATAAGGTTGTATCTTCAAATAAACCTTCTCTCCCACCTCCAGTTGAACCTCTCTCCTATGCTTATTGGCTTGTTGCCTCATTTGGTTCTGTGCCTTTGCTAAATTCTCCTTTAATTCATCCAGTATCATATTCCTCTGTGCAGTCAACTTGGACACTTCTTCCACAGCAGTTAGGGTAACATCACCCCTAATCACTGCAGGAGGGTCTTGCCCAAACAAAGCTTTGTAAGGAGTTACTTTCAGGGCTGCATGATAATTGGTGGTGTACCAATATTCAGCCCAATGCAGCCAGTCAAACCATTTCTTGGGTTTTCTTCCAGTCAAACATCTCAGATATGTTTCTGTCAAACCAATATTCACCTGTTAACCACCTCAGTTTGACCATCATCCTAAGGATGGTAAGTTGTACTGTTGTACCTCAACTGAGTTCCAGCCAATATAAAAAGTTCTGACCCAAATGCACTTAGGATGACACTATATGTGTCACTTACAATGGTTTTAGGAAAACCATGTAATCTGACCACCTCCTTGATGAATGATTCTGCCACCTCCTTGGCATTAAAAGGATGTGACAAAGCCACAAAATGAGCATACTTAGTCAGCCTGTCCACAATGACCAAGATGGTGTCTTTTCCTTGGGATTTAGGCAACCCACCAATGAAATACATACTGATGTCAGTCCATATGTTATTAGGAATAGGTAGAGGCTGTAGCAATCCTGCAGGTTTGAGGGCCTGATATTTATTATTGGTCTGGCAGATCACACATTCTTCAACAAACTTCTTGATATCATTTCTCATACCCTACCAAAAGAAAAGATTGGATATCCGTTTCATAGTTATAAAGTAACCAAAATGTCCTCCCAATGCAGATTCATGATATTCCTTCAATATCTTGGTTACTCTTGCTAACCCTTGTGGTAAGTGTTCTTAGTCAATTTCTTGATAAGCCACGTACTAGGCATCGGAATGCAGCTATCCATGTTTTGAGATACATCAAGAAAACTCTAGGGCAAGGATTGTTGTTTGAAGATCGAGGCCACCATGATATTGTGGGATAATGGTAATGCGGACTGGGCTGGATGTCTGATGGATAGACGTTCCACTTCGAATATTGCAACTTGATTGGTGGAAACTTAATTTCATGGAAAAGTAAAAAACAAGATGTGGTTGCCAAATTTAGTGTTGAAGCAGAATATTGTGCAATGGCTCTTGCTACTCCTCCAAGAGTTCAAATATGAAAACACAAAACTAGTTCAACTCACGTGTGACAATCAAGTTGCAATGCACATCACATCAAATCCGGTATATCATGAGAGGACAAAGCATATTGAAGTTGATTGTCATTTTATACGAGAGAAGATCACGAGTGGACATATCATCACAAATTATGTGAACATAACTGAACAACTTGCAGATATTTTAACTAAGTCTCTTAGAGGTCCTAGAGTGGGATATATTTGTAACAAGCTTGGTACATATCATTTATATGCTCCAACTTGAATAGGAGTGTGGAAATCCTAGTAGTATTGGGCTTAGCCCATTTGTACATCTTGTATAGGAAACCCTAGTGCTCTAAATATAGCTATAAATATAGCTTCTTGTATAGCATTTAATATGAAGTATATGAAATACATCAATACTTTTCTACAAGATAATTAAGAATTTAAAAAAGATAGTTTAGAAGTTTTAAAAGCTTCATGTATAATATAAAAGTACAGTTCAGAATTTTTAAAAAGTTAAAATGTGGTTCATCGTGTATTGTCTTCGCTACCAAATTATGTTTATTCTATACTTCTGCGAGATAGTTTTAAGTAAAAATAAACACTGAAACAGATACCCATCGTTAGTTTTGAAAAGACTGAACCAAACTTTTGTTATACTTTAGCTGTAAACTGAACCAAACTATTCTGCACTTTTTTTGTGAAGTGTTCAGTAACTTACTATAACTGAACCCAAAATCTTTTGAGACTAAAATGTGGATGTTGTTGAAGTGTTCAGTAACTTATAGGAACTTAATCAAACTGATTTTCAAAACGTAAATGTGTATGGTCAAACGCAGAGTAACAGCTTCAGGAACGAGCACAAAATGTATTTACCATATACATCCAGGAGTATTGGTTTCCAATAATTTGCAGTCCTCTTTCCTAAAACCAGAGGTGTCCAACCCATGTAATCAATTTGCACAAAAAAGTACAAACATCAAAGTTCTTGGGGGAAAAGAACCCTATGAAAACAACCCATTTATCTCAGGAGATAGTTGGACTTTCGATTACTGACCAGTAAGCCTCTAGATTTCCTTTGTTTAAAAAAATACAATAGAGTCTACTTGATTAATAAATTAGTGATATGCACTATTTCATTGTGCTTATTTTATTATTGTGTGTTTGTTGTTTTTACTTGTTTAGTTTAATTTAGTTTGCGATGTACTCTTTAGATTCATTTTGTAGGATGTAGTTTGTAATTTGTATTTCTTGTGTGTATTTTACTGTAAGTACCAAAAGGAATGTAAGGGAGTATTACAGGTACCAAAAGAATGCAAGGATAAACATGAATATTAGTGCTGGAACAAAACTCAGTTGGGTTGAATCAAAACCCAGTCAGGTTGGAAGTGATATCTGAAGCTACCACGAAGCTACCTACCGAAACCCGATTGGGTTTGTGCTCAACCCGGCCGGATTTGAAATGACATCAGACAATGAAACATGTTGAAGATCAAGAGAATATGAAAATTTTGATTTGATATGTAACCCAATCGGGTTTACCTTAACCCGATCAGGTTGGATGTGATTTCAGCACCTTCCGACTTCCCAAGGTACCCAATCGGGTATCCTATATACCCGATCGGGTACTTGACTCTGTCAGCTCCAAACACCTATAAATACACCCTTTTTCCTTCCCATTTTGATATCTATTCTTTCATATATTTAAGCTCAGTTAAGAATAGTATTTTCTTTATATTTTCTAGCATGTTTAGTCTCCAAATGAGGAGCTAAACCTCTTTATTCTTGGTTTTTCTCTAGAAGCTTGTTAAATGTTGTGAGTTATTTTCTTAACTTCTTCCCTTGAATATTAATTCTTCTCTTAGCCTATCTCTATATTAATGTTGGGGTGTTGCTAAGTAATTGCGGGTTATTAATGCATGCTTTCATGGTTAGTAATCTTAAAAGGGACTAATTGTGTTGGTTAAACTGGAACAGTTACGTTGAGGTTATCAATCTCAATAAATTTAATCAAGGAGTTGAGAGATTAAATGTTACTATCAAGTCAGTATATGGCAGTGTTCTATACTTGGCTAATAATAAGGGTTGTTAATGAATGATCTCGTTATTAATAACTACCCTCGATGAATTGGAGATACTCCACGATTGAGTATTCGAGAGGGGACAAGTTAAAGATATAACCGGGATCGACAAACATTTCAACAAGTGGAAAGTAGCAAAACCAAATCTTCTATCTCATTAATTTAAATCACATAAGTCGTTCATCTTAGTGTTTAAATATTACCAAGTCAAACATTCTTAAAAAACTCTTTTGGTTACAAGTTCATAAAAGAGAAATACAATTTTCCTTGTGGATACGAACTCTACTTCACTATACTACATACTAGTGTTGGTATTGAATTTATTTTGTACCACATAACGCCTTTAGTGCCGTCAATTAGTTAGCAATATTCATTGTAATTATATTAATAGTTAAAATAAAAAACAAAGGTTGGTCAAAATGCAGAGTTAAGAAGAATTATCGAGCTGATTAAGTTAATTTAATTACTTCTGCTATTATTATCTTATATTTATTTATCTTTATTTTATTCGTTTTATCTTACTTTTTTTTCTTCCCTTTCTTGTCCGTCTTCTCTGTTTGGCATCAATATCATTGATCGATTCATGTTAGCCGACCCCAAATTCTTTTGGGATTAAGGCTTGAATGTTGTTGTTTTTTGTATCTATTCACTCTGGCCATTGAGACGGGATGAATCAATACCTGAAAGAGAAAATTCTCTTATTCTTGAAATCAAGGCATCAACCGCAACAATAAGCTAATACCTGCAAGAAGTAGCAAATGGCTTTGGTCTTTTTTCATAGAAATACCCAAAAAAAAATACGTTCATATCAGTTTATAAGTTCAAATACTTCTACAATTAGAATCCATGCATCCATATCATAACTTTGAATATAAGATTCACTTTATTTAGAAGCCATGCATCCATGTCATTAGTTTGAATACATGCTTCAATTTAATTAGAAGTCAAGCAGTCATATCATTAATTTGAATATATGCTTCAGTAAGTTTGAGTTTATACTGTAAAAAATTATCTTTTTTAATACACGACACTTCAGTTTGTACTATATCAACCATTTTAGACACAACATTTTAAAGATTCAGGATTCAAATATACTGAAAAAAGTTCAAATACAAGTTTTTCTCTGGAGGTCACGCATTAAGTCAAGTTGTAAGCGCCATGTCTGATCGGAAGGTGAATGTGTACATATATACAACCATCACCATCATCATTACCCCAATGCCACAAAGGCTCCCACCTACGGTGGAGTAAGGGAGTGCATATATACAACCATTGAATTAAATTATCACATGCTAATGTCCTTTAAAATTACCCAGACTGCCACATATTTGTACTGCCAGTGGTGATTGAACTAGGTGATGGTGATTGGTACTATCAGTCATGTACCACATGTTAAGTGTTACCCGTTCGGCAATAACGTTTACTGTGAGGACCCAAAGTGTGGTACAGAAAGGTCTGAAATTCCTAAGCATGACAGGTTATACAGTGGCTCAAATGTAATAACACATCCCGCTTAAAAGTAAATTTTTACTAGATGTTTTCTTTCAGATTTAAGGTTGCGCTGAAAGTTATGGATCATACTGGATCCACTACATTTAGAGCGTTTGATCATGTGAATGATGTGATGACCAAGCTATTGGGAAAATCTGCAACTGAGTTGCTTGCTAAAATGCGGAAGGTTAATAAACCTCCAACCCATGAATTATTTCCTCTAATCATGGTTGTCGATGGCGCAGAATGGCGCATGCGCCATGCGCCATGTGGCGCACAAACCACCCCTCGCCATGAAAATAGGTCGTGGCGAAGAATATACAAGTGGCGACGCCATTCTCTCGCCTTCGCCATCCTCATGGCGTTGCGCCATGTTATTTAACAAAACAAAACCTTCTTGTGCATGAAGCGCCGAAGCGATAATGCGAAAATAGTGATCTCTGTAATCACCTCACGTGGGAAAGGGCTTTTAGCCCTTTTTATATACTCCCTCCGTCCCTAAATAAAAGCATATGTTTTCTTTTCGGGCCGTCCCTAAATAAAAGTTCCCTTTCCTTTTTTGGCAAACAAAACAGTGCAAAACAGTGCCAAACAGTGTCCAAACAGTGCCAAACAGTACCAACCAAACCCACTTTCTTAAAATGTGTGGAAAACGAATGGATACTTTTATATAGGGACGGAGGGAGCATATGTTTGAGCCTATTTTTAATAATAAGCCCATATTTATAATTTAGCCCATCCAAATAATAGGTTAAAACAACTTAAACCCATGTTAAACTCTTTTAAGTCACGGTAAAAGTCTTCTATCGTGACTTCATCGTTGAAACTGCATTCAAAGATCAACCCACAGAAACCAGCAACCCAGAAGGTGTCTTCTCCATCATCTTCCCGTGTTCTTCTTTCCTTTTCAGATTGTAGTTTTCATTCATTTTGCCATCTTCATGTTGATCCTTTTTTTTATTCGTTCAGTCTATCTTCTTTCTGTCATTACTTTTATCACTTCCAGTCATTTTCATACTTTATAATTTTCTTTGCTTCTTATATATTAGGGAAAAGGGTCAAATAGGTCCTCGAACTAACTTAAAAAGTGCAAATCACCCCTTATATAGGAGGCTTTGTCCGGTCGTTGCCATTTGGGGCGGTTCCCGGTGGAATTTTTGTTAGGGACCTACATAGAATAATAATAAATAGAATAAGTTTGTAATAATTGTCTTCTGTTATTAGCTATTAACTATAGCTAGTGGAGCTGTAGGTCTATAAATAGAATAAAACGGGTAAGAAGAGAGGAGGTTAATTTTGGATGTATTGTTGCCTTGAGAGTCCCGGTTGCCTAAGAAGTCCCTGTACCCTACGGTTTACCCCTATATCATCAATAAACGTCTATTTCCATCTCTGTTCATCAGATCTGTGAGTTGGGTTACAGTTTTAGCTTTGATTTGTGTCTGTGTCTAACATTGGTATCAGAGCGTGTTGATTCTGTGGATGGTTTGGACACGAACGAAGATGGATTTGCGGTTGAATGAGTTGGATGAGAAGGTGGATAGAAATCATCAACAAATGACGGAATTGTTGGCGGCGATTATGGCGAGGATGGATGCGAGAGATCAACATCGTTCGCGTAGTCGATCGACGGCCTCTCACTCATCGCATCATCACTCGACGAAATCGGAGGATAGTTCCGATGGATCAGAAGGTCACAGAGGGTATTCACCACCACACCGGCATCGCCATCACCATCAGACGCACAGAAAGGTTGACCTACCTTTATTCAACGGTGAAGACGCTTATGGCTGGCTTGTCAGGATTGATCGTTATTTCCGACTAAACAATACAGAAGAAGAGGATAAGATTGAAGTTGCAGTAGTAGCGATGGAAGGCAAAGCTCTTGGATGGATTCAATGGTGGGAGAAACAAGCAAGAGAAAGGACATGGGAGAAATTAAAGAAGGCGCTGATTCGTCGCTTTCAACCAGAGTTGATCCAAAATCCCTTGGGTCCTTTGTTGAGTCTGAAACAGAAAAATTCTGTACAAGAATACAGAGAACAATTAGAATCGGCCCTTGCTTCTCAAGAATATTTGGACAAGAAGGTTATGAGAGGCATCTTCTTGAATGGATTAAAGAAGGATATCAAGGCTGAACTAAAGTTGTATAAGACCAAAGATCTTGCTAAAATCATGGAAAATGCACAGTTGATTGAGAATAAGAACGAGGAAATATTGTTCAGAAAGAATAAAGAAGAAGGGAAAAAAAGAACATGGAAGAACACGGCATCTAAAGGAAGCAGTTATCAGAAATGGGAAGAAGGGATTAGAAGTAGCAGTAATCCAACTCCTACACAGTCTTCTGGAAATAAGAGTAATGATAACAAGAGTGGGGAGATTGGTGAAGGTTCTAACTCCGGAAAAATAGGCCCCAGTTTATCCCAAAAAGAATTGGTGGAAAGGAGTAAGAAGGGATTGTGTTTCAAGTGTGGGGACAACTGGAATAGAGGGCATGTATGCCAGATGAGAAATTTCAAAATGGTTTTGATTGAAAACTCTGAAGAAGAGGCAGAAACTGAAGACGATTGCAGCAAGTCTGAAGAAGAAGAGGGGCCTCACCCTGAACTCAAATCAATGCAATTATCAGTGCTCAGTAAAGAAGGTATACCTTATATGAGAACTTTTAAAGTAATGGGGAAACTAAGTTGGTCTGCAGGAGAGACACCAGTAAACATTCTCATTGATTGTGGTGCTACCCACAATTTCATATCACAGAAATTGGTAGACAAGTATAAAATTCCTTACTATAAAATAAAAGGATATAAGGTCCAGACTGGGAATGGGGAATTCATTTCCAATAGTGGCAGATGTTTGGGGCTGAAATTAGAAATGCAAGGGAATGTAATACAACAAGTATTTTACATCCTGGAGTTAGAAGGGACAGAACTAGTGCTTGGAATGGAATAGTTAACTCAATTGGGAGATATGGCTGTCAATTTCCAAAACCAGAACCTTATATGGAAGCAGGAGAGTCAGATTTGCTCAATCAAAGGGGATATAGCCCTAAATAGTATGGCAGTTTCTCTCACAATCATGGCGGCACTGATTCTGCAACAAAATGGAGAAGAGAACCTGCTGAATTGTAAGGGACAAGAGCAAGAACATAACATGGAACAAAAGCTTTATACAGGAGAGGAAGCTGTGAAGGAGTTCCCTGAAGTTTTCAAAGTCAGATTAAACTTCCCTCCAATCAAGGCTTATGATCATGCTATCCAGATCAAGGAAGAAGCTAACTCTATATTCTCAAGCACAAAATGTGGTTCAGTTCCTGTGTTGAATCACACTGGCAAAGAGGTTCAGGAAACATCAGTGAGTTGGAAAGATCAAGTATTTAAGCTTCTCTCTCAGAAATTAGTGAAATATTGGGAAGGCAGAAGCGCCAGGATGAAGAGGACGCAGAAGGTTATCTATCGCCCACCCATAGATACATAAATCGCTACAGGAGGCGCGATCTGCGTACCGATCGATCTGTACCCAATCGCGGTACGAAAACGATCCGGTCGCTAGTCGGAACGCCATGCGGTACGTTATTCGAGTCGTTCCCAGATGCTGTTCATGGTCAATCCCAATCGATCTTCAAATCGATCCCAAACAATGTTTGCAGCGATTGTATTCGCCGTTTCCAGACGTCGCGCAGCTTGAAAACGCCGTTTCCAGTCTTCGCGCAGATTTGAATCGTCATTTCCTAGGTCTGCGAGTCTTAGTTTGCGTTTCGTTTCCATGTTTAAATGGCGTATGAACTTTGATTTTCGAACCACACTCCTAGACTCTTAGTTTTCTGATCCTACTCATCAATTTTACCCTCTAATACCAGTTATAAATTGAGGCAAAATGATCTGCTTTATACGCCAACTACTCTTAGCAATCTTCCCTATGCAGTTGGCTTTATTCTCTCCACTCTTGTTTGTGATTTTAGACAACACAGTCCCCAGCCAGTGTTTCTTGAGTATTAATGTTTTGGCTTTTGTTTAATGTTATGACATCATGTTATGAAATCTGTTTTTGTTCAATGTTGAAATCTTTATTCTGTAATTCAGTTTTATTATAGTACCAAAATATTAGGTACAGCGTACCGAACATATGGTACATCGTACAGATCGCGTACCGGAATGAACCTACCCCCCTCCGAATCGGATACGCTAGATCTAGCGAACCGCGTTCCCGATCCTCGTTCCCGTACCGAAGCGTTCCGCGAACTATGTGACTATGCACCCACCTTGAGGGCAAGGTGGTTGTTTAGGGGGGAGATTTGTTAGGGACCTACATAGAATAATAATAAATAGAATAAGTTTGTAATAATTGTCTTCTGTAATTAGCTATTAACTATAGCTAGTGGAGCTGTAGGTCTATAAATAGAAAAAACGAGTAAGAAGAGAGGAGGTTAATTTTGGATGTATTGTTGCCTTGAGAGTCCCGGTTGCCTAAGAAGTCCCTGTACCCTACGGTTTACCCCTATATCATCAATAAACGTCTATTTCCATCTCTGTTCATCAGATCTGTGAGTTGGATTACAGTTTTAGCTTTGATTTGTGTCTGTGTCTAACATTTTTTTATTCAATTTTTTGAACATCTTCTTCATTAAGTCTAGTTTACACATACCAAATTTTAGCTAAAAATTCAATGGGAAAGGCAGTCAAATGAATTTTTTAAGATAACTACGCAGTTAAACAGCGTAGTACATTTCAAAAAATCATTTGATTGTCTCCCGGTTGAATTTGTATCTGAAATTTGGTATGGGTAAACTAGTCTTAATGAAGAAGATGCTCAAAAAAATTCATCAAAAAATTCCAGCGGAAACCGCCCCAAATGGCGACGTCCGGACAGAGCCTCCTATATAAGGGGTGATTTCCACTTTTTAAGTTAGTTTGAGGGCCTATTTGACCCTTTTCTCTATATATTACTACATATATACTTTATAGCTCTCTTAGTTTCATCTTATTACACAGTCTATAACTCTATATCTTCTTCCTATCATTTCATATTTTAATTGTATAAAGCTTTGTACTGAGTATAATCTAACTCAGTTAATAGTTTCATAGTGAATATAATTTAAACTATTTTAACTTCACATGTTTTAGTTAGAATGTTGTTATTCAACTTTTTTATCATGTTTTGGTGGTTGGGTGATACAATTATAGTGTCCATAATTCGTTTTTTTTTTAGTTTTTTTCTTGTCACCTGGAGACGCCATATTTGCACCATCACCATGGAAAAATGCATGTACGCCATTGATGTCGCCATGCGCCATGACAACTATGCCTCTAATGTTTTAGTTATTTGATAACACTATTGAACTATTGACACTAACATTAAAATTGATGCAAATGCACAAAATTCGGGCTAAATCCGTTTATATCAATTTATATGTTTGAATACTTCTACAATTAGAACCCTATATCACATACCGCATATACTGTGATTGATAACAAATTATATAGTTACCAAAATATGTAATGTGAACAACAGTTCTTTTTTAGATATTTAGAAAGTTCGAAGATCTGTTTTGTATGTTAAGTATCTTAGAAGTGCTCCGGTATTTTTTTTTTTTTTTGAAAATCTAATTTCTCAATAGATCCCATATGGTATATTTCTTTAAGTATCTTAAGCTAATTACTTATGTGACTGTTTTGTACTCCGTATTTTAAGTATCTTAAATTTTATCAGTTTTGTGACTGTTTGGTAACTATTTTGTACTACGGAGTTACCAAATTATGTGTACTTCTGTGTTTCTATACATTGGTCCATTATTATTTGACAAAGTTTCTGCAATTTTTAAACTGGTGGTCATTACTTTTCACTCATTAGACTAGTTGAGACCTATTTTTCAAGTGAAACTATAAGGGTATGTTTGGGAGTTTAGAGAGAAGGGGAGGTGAAGACTTTGAAGGTATGTTGTTGGAAGGGGAAGGGAGGGAAGGGTGGGGAAGCCCTTCTTTGTATTTGGAAGTTATAAAATTGGAAGAAGAGGGTTTTGAAGGAATTATAATTGAAATCACTTTGAGATATAACGAATTCAAATCATTGAGCTGATATTCATTTTTAATTTAGCTTAAATTATCCTACAAAAGCTCTCCAAAATCATTCCCTCCAATTTTTTAAACTCTCAAACATGAAAAGGAGGATCATAACCCCCGTTAACCTTCTCCTCCCCTCCAAAAACCCAACTCCCAAACACACCTTAAGAAGTTCCACAACCTAAACAAAAAAAGGATGTAGCACAGTTCTCTTATATATGTAATGAGTAAACAAATAAGATAGACAAAAAGGCATTGAACAAAAAGTCATGGATAACACAATAGGTTAGGACAAGAATATATTTTTAAAAAATTACTCATTTTCATCATTTTCATTTACCCCAGTGCCGCAAAGGCTCCCACCTACGGTGGGGTAAGGGGGGGTCGGATGTACGCAGTCTTACCCCTGTACTAAAGCATAGAGAGACTGTTTCCGGATGACCCATAGTGAAAATCGCGTCCAAGATTGCATGGACTGACTGCTGCTCCATAACAAAGAAGCGCAGACAGTTTTGACTGCTGCTGAATTTTTAAAAAATTACTAATGGACAAAAATCCTATTTTGAAATTTCAAAAAAATGAGACTAAAAATGCTTAGGATCATTAACATTTTTCACTTTTCACTTGAGGCAGCCCTCCAGTGACTAAGGCTACCCTTACAAACAGAATCCTTCCGCGGCAAGAGAGAAGTAACCACAGCCACCTGTCAGTGTGACTGCCGCCGGAAACAGTGACTGCCCCCGTCCAGTTACCACACCTGTCAGCCGACAGTAACAACTGTACCGCCAAGTTACACCACCACTCCAACGCCGCCGAACACATCGACCCCGCCCGGCCGGCAGTGGGATGTGGCCTCGGTGAATACTACCCCTGTCCTACCCCATCCCAAGCTACCTTTCCGGCTCCCCATCCCTATCCTTAGATCCCCAGACCTAGGATTCTAAACGAATCAAATAATTTTTGCTCGATTCGCGATTCGAATTCCTATAAGATGATTCGAATTCGGAAAATTCAAATATAAATACAAATAAGAATATTAAATTTGTTTCGAGTTGTTATCAAATACAAATAAGAATATCAATGTATTCGATTCGAATATTAATCAAATATATTTGATCAATAATAATGGTAATATTAATATCAATATTAATAATAGTAGTAATAACACTATAATATTTTTTTAAAGATTGCAATACCCTCAAAGTGTAGCCCATATATACACTTTTGCATACAAATTCCAAACCCATTTGTAATAAACCAGAATATAAATATGAATACAAATCAATTTTTTGGTTCAAATGTATTTCAAATACAATACAAATAATTATATATTCGATTTGAAAAATAAAATTAGAGTTGTTTGACTTTGATATATACAATTATCAACTTATTTGAGTTTTTCACGAAATAATGCTACTTAAATAAATAATTCCCAAAATATTGCGTGGTTAAAAATAATTCCCAAAATAATGCTATAGTAGACTATGGTTAACAAAACCGCCACTCAGGTAGTGGCTTAGACATTCGATCAACCAAAAATCACGCCCAGCCAAACATAGGAATTGAATAATGGGCCCCACATAATAAAAAAAAAACTCTTTATTTTAAATTGTTGTAACTTTTTTATTTGTACTCGGATTGTTACAAAAAATATATCAAAATTTATAACTTTTTATTATCTTTCATATGAAACCAATATTGACTATAAAAAATAAAAATAAAAAAATTAGCAATTTCAGAAAAACTTTTGGGAAATACTAAAAAATTCACATAATACCAATATTACATATATATATTACATATCATATTACAATAATTATTTTTCATTTTTATATATGCAATATTGGTGTTATGTGAAAGATAATAAAAAAAACATGAAGTTTGATATATTTTTTGTAACGATCGGAATTAAAATAAAAAAGTTACAATACTTTAAAAAACAAAAGTTTTTCTGAAATTGTTAATTTTTTTATTTTTATTTTTTATAGTCAATATTGGTGTCATATGAAAGATAATAAAAAGTTATAAATTTTGATATATTTTTTGTAACAATCCGAGTACAAATAAAAATGTTACAGCAGTTTAAAATAAAGAGGGGTTTTTTTATTATGTGGGGCCCATTATTCAATGGAAAATGCTTAGTGTACATGAGTTGTACACAAATTGTACACAAAAACCCCCTAGTTGCCTGTGTACACAGACAATTCATTTAGAAAAGGACAGAATTTGATACCCAATTGTCTGTGTACACAGGCAATGTACACATTTTGTGTACATCTTGTGTACACCAAGCATAGCCCTTATTCAATTCCTATGTTTGGCTGGGCGTGATTTTTGGTTGATGGAATGTCTAAGCCGCCACTTGAAGTGGCGGTTTTGTTAACCATAGTCTACTATAGCATTATTTTGGGAATTACTCCGTATTTTTTATTTTTAACCACGCAGTATTTTGGGAATTATTTATTTAAGTAGCATTATTTTAGGAAAAAACTCAACTTATTTCACACATTATAAGTATAATTTATAATATGCGTGTTAGTGTTTATTTCAAAAGGTTTGAAATAGATTTATATTTATTAATCATAAAATTAATTCATTTTAGCATATTGTGCACCATCTAAAAATGCATTGATCCATTAAATTTAAATTCTAAAAACACATATGAAGTCATAGCATGCATTTACAACATAAAAAATACGGAATATAAGAAAAGTTTTTTAAAGTGATATTTGACTAATATTTAAACTATGCTCAAATCGATTTGATATTCGTATATGATTCGTTAACTATTCGCATGGTTAAGCAAATACAAATACAAATCGAAATTAAAATTCATTTCATATTTGAATTCGAATTTGTGTTCAAAAAAATTAAAAAAATACAAATAAAAAATCCCATTATTAGCCTAGATTCAGTTCGTTTACCACCTTACCCAGACCCCTCCCCCTGCCAAACCCTAGACGCTACCATCTCCGAACCCTATCCACCGCCATCGCCGAACCCTAGCCGCCACTATCGCCTTCACAGTGAGATCCATCTACTTCACCATCGCCGAAAAAGAAGAAAGGAGAAGAAGAGATATATACAGAAAAGATAACAGACCTGGGGGCTGCGTCAGGCTGGTGGAAGCGCCGAGTTGTGGCTTTCTTCGGCGATGCAGCAAAGGTCGGCAAGAGCAGGCGGAGATCTTCGGCCGAGCGGAAGGGAGGGCAGAGTGGCCGTGCGTAGATTCTTAATTTTGTATTTTTGTATTTTTTTAATTTTTTTTAGGAAAAATATAAACTAATAATTCAACCTTTTAGCGTCATTCTTATAATTGTCTCACATTTTCGTTATTCAGGAATAATCCAACTTTTGTGCTCCATCTTCATTCGCTTATTTCTAACCGACTGATGATCTGCTATTCCAAATTATTTTCTTATCTTTGTAATATATTATACCATAAACCACATCTTATGATCACATAATGTTTTGCAAAGATAAAAAAATAACTTGGAATAACAGGTCATCAACCGGTCAGAGACCATTGAATGAAGATGAGGTGCAAAGTTTGGATTATTCCTCAATAATGAAAAGGTAAGACTATTCTAAGAATAACGCTAAAAGGTTGGATTATTAGTTTCCATTTTTCCCTTTTTTATTCAAATGAAATTTGATTCTATTTTTGAGGGCCGGAGAAAATGTACTACCTCCGTCCCGATGGACTTTGTCAAGTGCAAAGTAAGTGAGAAATAAGAAAAGTAAAAACTGTGTGGTTGAGATTTGTGCAAAAGACAGAGAAATGTGCAGAACCACAAATGAATTGATTTAATTGGAAATAGTCAAAGTTTTTTTGGACAACCAAAATGAAAAAGTTGTCAAAATCCAATGAGGCGGGGGATTATTAATTTAACCGAATCGAACTGGTACTTTATTTTAGTTCGAGTTTACTTAAGAAAACTATTTGGTGTCAATTTGTTCAAATTGAATGATTTGGTTTGGCTTTAAATCGAAAAACTTAAACTAAACCGAAAATCGAACAATTTTTTTTTTTGGGAAAAGTCATATTAGTTTGCATTGATCATATCAAAGTTTAAAACATCCACGATACAACTCGAAGGTAATGAAACCCAAATTTCACAACCAGCTAAAGAACCTGCCACCCGGCCAATATATGAGTTAGGGGTGGGCAAACGAATACAGAAACCACGGGTCGGACGGGGCAATACAGGTTCGAGGCGGGTTAGGGTCGGGTTCTAATTTTAGAAAACTCAAACGGTTCGGGGCGGAGCGGATCCTTAAAAACTTAGGAACCGAACGGATCTTAAAATTTGAAAAAAACGGGTACCCGACCGAATCGTTTTAAAATATTATTTAATTTTAATAACTCTATAATATTTAATATAATAATATACTAATAACACCTGAAAGCTCTTCATGTTTTTATGTCTAGACAAAGACACTGAATTAAAGAAACTTGTCAATCAATTAAAAAGAGTTTCCAAGTTCAAATAAACTCTTAAATATTTTTCCCAATTCTTTATTCTAAATGCATCAAATTTTCTTTCTTTAATATTTTTTTGTAAACAAAGACTTTTTCTCAATGAATTGTGCATATTCATATAATTATCTTAATTTTTCTTATACTTTGAGATTTAATAAGCTTTAAATTGTTTTCATTGACAAAAATGTTAAGTAACTAGTTTAATTTCTTATGACTCTATAGTGCTATTTTTTTAGTTTATGAATGATGATTAACATTTTAATTTAGGTGGTTGTGTTCTGTTTAATTTATTAATTTGTGGTTGGATGTTTTATTAACTAATTTCAATTGTTGTTTTTATAGTTTTATTTTGAATTTTTATTACATTAATACTTAATTAGTTTGAGAAACTTTGTTAGCATAGACGTATTTTTTTACAAAAAAAAAGAACAGAGGACTCGTACCGAACCTGCCCGTTTCAAATGGGGTGTAATACCTCCATTTTCCCCGCCCAAAATAATACTTGAAATAAAAATATATTTATAACAACCTTGATTTATTTATTCAAAATGGATAGAGTTTTGCAGCGGAAATAACAATAATGGGAAACGGGTGTGTTACCGCCACACCCAGCCCTCAACTTGGTTGGATGTTAAGGCTATCCACCATGAGTTCAACCAAATCAAAACTTGAATTCAAAATTTACTAACATTATTTAATCTAAGTGAAGACTACACTGAATTCTTCTAAAACGCTCTCCAAGCTCGTCAAACATCATGAGTTTCATATTCATCATTACATGCACAAATAAAGTGCAGAAAACGAAACAAAGAAAAGGAAACAAAAATTAACTTTAGAGCTAAGTGAGTACTACCCAACCCCGTAAAATAATCAAGTTTAATTTGTCAAAAATAGTTCTTTGTGCTATAATATAGCTATAAAAATTCCATTTACTTCCCAAAAATATCTTTTCAAATCAAAAACATCATTTATCAACTTTATAACCTCAACTACCCTTATAGTTAAAAATATTATTTATAAGCTCCAAACAATTAATTATCTCAAAAGAAGTATCACGTTTCAAAAATATCTTCTGTAGCTAAAATATCACCATTCCAAAATCAATGTCACTCTTAGATTCTTTTAAGATGGGTGAAACTCAAGATTTCTCAAGCCCAACTCATCCCGGAATTCCGGCTCCCACCGACCACCAATTGGAAACTAAACTTCACCTTTAAGTGTGCACACCCCCTAAAAGGGATTCCAAGCCCTCTGAGTAGTGAGAAGTCCAAGTAGCTCGGACAACGTCCCCCTACCTCACAATGGGTTAGATACCCGGGTGATTAGAAACTACTACTGCGGCCACCAAAGAACTTTTAAAGTTCTCAACAGAAATACCGGGATTCACCCGCCACCAATATTTACCGGGATTTCTCCCACCACCAATAATCAACTCAAACCTAAACTGAACCCGCGGTATATAGCTCTAACCACCCACATCTCGTGTTTCTCTGGAGATGTCAATAATTAATTAAAAACATTATTCCTTCTTGAAAAATCATCTCTCTATATATAGTCCTCCAGAATATCTATTTAATAGATACGTCCACAAAAATTCACATTCATAAAAACTTCAAAATGTTTTCACATAAAAATTTACTCCAAAGTCTCACTAGGGATTATATCCCAAAATATATCTTCAATACTTCTCAAATTCTCAATCACCCCAAACAGTACACATTCAAAATTCACATTTAATCAAATAATGCATAATAAGCATATAATACGAGGAAACAATTTTGGATTGGCAGAGAAACTTACCTTAAGTCCTGGTGCTCCTAATTCTCTTCCTCAATTCCGATCTCTAAATAATCACCTTTTTAATTAAGATAATATAATTAGTCCCTTCTTCTATTTTTAATAACTTATCCGATTTTCACTTATTATTTTATTATTCGAAATTATTAATATAATTTATTAGTTATTCGAGTTTATTTGATTAATCACTTTTTATTAATCCAATCGCCTTATTAATTCAGCCATTAATTTACAACATTCGAATTCTATAGTTAAATCACAATATCCGAATTTAATTAACTACAATATCCAATTTTTAATTTAATAATCACCATTAATTTACTCTACTCATAAAACATTAATTATATTTTAATATTATTAAAATATAGTAAACATAGCCGAATTATTTTTAATTAAACTATTCAAATTTCGTAACTACATTAATTTATGTTGATCAACATTATTAGTTAATCAGAATATTATAACAATTTATTTAAACAAACTAATCATCATTAACTTAATCCGGTTTTATTAGCTTACGCAAACACTTAATATTTCCAAGTCCGTAATTATGTTAATTTGATTAATCTACTTCAATTAGTCCAATAATTAGTGAAAATAATATCTATCAAATTTATTTAACCTAATTATGGCACTAAGTCCAAATAAATAATTATTATTTTAATATGATAAACGTTTATTGATTAAACCATCAATTCATTTTATCATCTAACATTATTTAATTATGTTAAATAACAATTAACAAATTTATCCAAGTGATTACTGTCAATAAACCAAGCCAACTACATCATTAATATTTCTCATCTCAATTTATCAATTATATTATTATTATTATTATTATTTTAAGTCAAAGGGTTAAGAATTTCAGTCGGCCCAACTGTTTAAAAGTCTGGTCCAATTGTGTGTTTTTTTCTTTTTTTTTCTCGGCCCAACAAGATAGATCCAAGCCAAAGAGGAGGTGGTCATCTTCTTCGCACGTAGGAACGCCGGAACTACAAAACGCAGGGGGAAGAAGCTTACCTTGGCTGGCAGTGAACGATGGTGGTGGAAGGCTCGTTTGGAGACCGCGAAGATCGGCTGTAGAATGGCGGTGGTGGCAGGTCCTCCTTCGTCTCTGTTTCCGTCGTGACGTTGAGCCCGCCGAACTCCGGTGAAGCTTTTCTTCCTCGTTTCACGACCGTTTTCTACGATTCTTTTTCCGTTGTATTCCTCTCACGAAGGGGAAGGTTTTAGGGTGTCTTCGAAGCTGGGTATTTAGTATAAAGTGATGGAAATATGATGATACACATATTATTATGAAGAGGCTCAATTTTGAGTTCTAAGATATAATTGTATAACATGTATAAGAAATGGAGATAATTTTATACGTCAAAGAGCAACTTACATATTTGGATTTATTTCATTAATCCATAGTTGTAAATGTTGTGAAGTGGTGTATTATTGATGTGGGTCTTATTTTCAATATTATAAATAAATTGTCTCTTGTCCTGGTTAATATAATATGTGATAAGGAATATTATTGTTCAAGTATCATGTAAGGCTTCAAAATATTATCTTGCACGTTCAAGTTACTCAAGTTTGAATAAATATATTAAATGAAGAGACAATTACTTATTTTATTCGACATAAATTTTGTGGTTGCACAAACCTGAAATGTTTTTACTCTAGTTTTAAAAACTGGGTACGTTACTTTGAAAGGGTTTATGGTTGTTTGAAATTGCATTTAAAACTGCCGTTGCCAGATCATTGAATTGAAAACGTTAAGGACGTGCGACCAGCTTTAACTTCATGTCTCCATGCACACGTTAGTGTGCTTATATATGAATATTTGATTTCCAAAAGATACGATCTGCTGCATCATACTCTGTATTAACCTTTACACATAAGAGAGCACTAACTCTCTTGCTTTTGTTCATTCTCTAAAGGCACTCACAATTTGTATACATACATTACGTGAGATACTTTGAGTAT